TTTCTCTCTTCCTCACTCTCCATCTCTCTCTCCCTCCTTTCTCTCCATCTCTCTATCTCTGTGTCCATCTCTTTCTCTTTTCTTTCTCTATCTCTTTCTCTCTTCCTCACTCTCCATCTCTCTCTCCCTCCTTTCTCTCCATCTCTCTATCTCTGTGTCCATCTCTTTCTCTTTTCTTTCTCTATCTCTTTCTCTCTTCCTCACTCTCCATCTCTCTCTCCCTCCTTCTCTCTCCATCTCTCTATCTTTCCATCTTTTTCTCTCCATTTCTCTCCCCATCTCTCTCTCTCTCTCCATCTCTTTCTCTTTCCACCTCTTTCTCTCCATCTCTCTATCTCTGTGTCCATCTCTTTCTCTTTTCTTTCTCTCTCTCTTTCTCTCTTCCTCACTCTCCATCTCTCTCTCCCTCCTTCTCTCTCCATCTCTCTATCTTTCCATCTTTTTCTCTCCATTTCTCTCCCCATCTCTCTCTCTCTCTCCATCTCTCTCTCCCTCCTATTCTCTCCATCTCTCTATCTCTGTACCCATCTCTCTTTCTCTCTTCCTCACTCTCCATCTCTCTCTCCCTCCTTCCCTCCCTCTCTTTGTAACTCTCTTGCCCTCTCCATCTCTCTCTCTCCCTCCTTCATCTCTCTATTTTTCCATCTTTTTCTCTCCACTTCTCTCCCCATCTCTCTCTCTCTCTCTCTTTCTCTTTCCACCTCTTTCTCTCCCTCTACCTGTGTCCATCTCCCTCTCTTTCCATTTCTCTCTTCCTCACTCTCCATCTTTTTCTCTCCATCTCTCCCTTTTTCTCTCTCTCCCTCTCCATCTCTCTCTTCATCTCTTTCCATTTATCTCTTTCTCTCTTCCTCACTTTCCATCTTTTTCTCACTTCACCTTTGTCTCTCTCTCTCTCCATCTCTCTCTCTCTCTCCCTCCTACAGAGACACCTGCACACGCGCAGTGCCAGGGCCCCTGGGTGCATTGCCATTCTTCCCCCTCCATGGGTCTGTCTCTCACTCTTCCCCCCCCCTTTTCCCCCCTGCAGACCTTCACCCGTTTGGGAAAATGCTACACGTTCAACTCTGGTGCCACCAGCTACCAGCTACTCACCACGGTGAAAGGAGGGACGGGAAACGGCCTGGAACTCATGCTGAACATCCAACAGGATGAGTACCTGCCCGTCTGGGGGGACACAGGTGAGTCTCCGGACTCCCCCCCTCCCTCCCGAGAACCTTGTGACCCTGTGGGCCGCAGCTCCCCCCCCCTCCAAGAATGGCAGCCCAGAGGCTCCATTTTGCCTGTTGAGGGGGGGGGGAGTTTCATCCCAGGGGAGGGGGGCGAGGGCTGGTCTGCCCATGGAGGGGAGTCTTCGTTGCTCAATACACAGCAGTCAGGTAGTGGTGGTGGTGGGGGGTCTCCAGGGGGGATGGTGGGCCAGCAGCCTCCTCCCTGGCCTGGGAGGGAGAAAGGGCATCATTAGTCGGGGCCAAGTGGACCCAGGACAGGAGCCTTCTACAAGCAGGGCCCAGGAGCCCCTGTGGCAATGGGGAAGGGTCTCCCTCTTGACCAAGGAGAGACCCCTCCCCTCCCTCTCTGTGCCTTGTGACAGACGAGATCTCCTACAAAAGCTGCATGAAGTTGCGAATCCACAGTCAGAACCAACGTCAGGGTTCCAAATAGCATCCAAAATTGAATCAGAGTCCGAGGGAAAGGATTCATCAAAGTCCCAATTTATGAAGAGAGCCATGTTGGCACATCTGGGAAAACCCGAATCTGAAAGCTTCCCGGTTTTCCCCACCCGGTTGGAAGTTGCCCCCACCCCCACAAGCCCATCATCCCATGGTCCCATCTCCCACTGCCATGCTGGCAGCTTCCACCCATCCAGTTCCGGTCAGGTGCAGAGAGAAAGGATGACCTTGGCTTCCTAGAAAGAATGTTGTTATGGCTACATTGCATCTGACTCCGTGCAATCCCCCCCCCCATTTCCCCCACCATAGAAAAATGCGTGGTGGAATGGTAGAAAGGGAGGGGGGCCTGGGATCCAGAAGAAAGCGGCGGTCCTGACAACCAGTTTGACTGGCTAAGATTGCAACCGAGATGAAAGTAGATGATGCGAAAGAGGCTCCACTGGCTGGACGCATCAGAGAAACCGGCGGATGTTTTCATAAATAAGAGGAATAAATACAAATACGGACCGAGAGTCTGATGGGGGTGATTTCCCTATATTGCAGGGGTATCAAACTCAGGTCCCCTGATGTGGTCGGATCCGGCCTGCGTGGCCAGCCCAGAAAATGTAAGGTCACTTTGACCCAGTCCACCCAGTCAGAAGGGGACACCTGCCAGCAGTTTGGGGAGTGGCGTCAACCTGGCCAGGCCCACCGTTGGCCACACCCACCCAGTCAGCCTCGCCCACCAAGGCCAACCCCAGCCCTGACGCCGCCCTGATTGAAATTGAGTTTGCCCCCCCCCCCCGCCCTGCTCTTTTGGATCTAGGAAATGGGCTTCTGAAAGCATTGAAACATGTTGTGAGAAGGGAGGAGGAAGAAAAAGGGAAGGAAGTGAAGTTTTAGGACATTCTTGGAAGAGAGAAGATTGTTCAAAGGAAAAGGAAGGGATATAAAGTCGGCTTATTTGGTCGAGGTTAAAAGAGAGATGCTGTTCTCTCTCCCTCTCTGTGCCTTGCAGACGAGACCTCCTACGAAGCCGGCGTGAAGGTGCAAATCCACAGCCAGAGTGAGCCGCCTGCCATCGACCAGCTGGGCTTCGGAGTAGCCCCCGGCTTCCAGACTTTCGTGGCCTGCCAGGAGCAGAGGGTAGCCCGCGGAGGGACACGGGGTGGGGGAGGTGGGGGTGCCCCCTTCCTGCCCTCCCCATTCCCCGAATCTGGGGACCGGATCCTGGGCTGACCCGTCACCCTGCCTTTTGCCTCAGCTCTTCCACCTGCCGGCCCCCTGGGGGGACTGCCAGGCTAACCCCGCAGAGTCGGCCTTCTTCCCCAACTACAGCACCGCCGCCTGCCGGATCGACTGCGAGACACGCTACCTGGCGGAGAATTGCAACTGCCGTATGGTGCATATGCCAGGTCAGGGGGGGGGGCAGGGGAAGGGAGGGGGGGCTGAGCCGAGCCCCTTCTCCGGGCCGAATCAGAATCGAACTGGAAGGGACCTCGGAGGTCTTCTAGTCCTGCCCCCTGCTCGAGCAGGAGACCCTGAGAAATCATAGAATAAGGGAAGGGACCTTGGAGGTCATCTAGTCCAACCCTTGCTCAAGCGGGAGACCCTTGACCCTTCCAGACAAATGGTTGTTCAGTCGATGGAGCATCCAAAACTTCTGGTGGCCAGCTGTTCCATGGGTTAATCGTCCCCCCTGTTAGGAAGTGTCTCCTTGATTCCAGATTGCTTCTCTCCTGAATTAGTTTCCACCCATTGCTTCTGGTCCTGCCCTCGGGGGGCTTTGGAGAAGAGTTTGACTCCCCCTTCTTTGGGGCAGCCCCCCAAATATTGGAAGATGCCGCCATCATGCCACCCTTAGTCCTCCCCACCCTCCTCATTAAATTAGACACGGCCGAACCCTGCAACTCCTCTTCCTCCCTTTGAGCCTTCGGGACCTTCAGCCCCTCCGTTGCCCTTCTCTGCACTTTCTCCAAGGNGTTGGTTCAGCTTGGAGATTCACAGATATCAAACCGCTCACTGCTTCATTAAAGGCAGTCCTTTAATCAATCCCAGAAACCTACTGATCAGGTGATTATTATGCTCCTGAAGCAGCTCACCTATCCACTAATGAGGCATTGACCGTCTCTCAAATCCAGTTGCTTTCCTGGAAGTTCAAAGAAGCCAGACAGGGGATAGATCAGCCTGCCTACAGCTGACCCCATATTGCAGAAAGGCTAAAGCCACTTCCTCAACCTCTGCAAGCTGAAAAAAGCCCCAGACAGTTTTGCAAGATATCGCCCAGACAATTCATTAGATTTTGTCAGAGTGGTATCTAACGTGGAGTGGATGTGCATGACTATATCAGCAAACAATCTCACCATCTTGTCAGAGCAACTTCCTGGGGAATTTTTTTTTCTTCTCTCCATCGTAACAATGAAACAAAAGAGAAGAGAAAAAGGAGTGTTGGCGATGAGTTGTCATGGCTACACTGCCTGCTAGTTGCAAGTGTTGTTAGTAGACAGATTAGGGAATATGATACGTGCTGTATGTTGAAATCAAGGGCCTCTATTGTACATTTCTGCCACTTCAGAAAGAGAGACATAGTTATTTCAATGCAACAGATATAGCTATTTCAATACAAGTTGCATCAAGGAGCCACCTTTTTCTTTCCTCTACTGTTCTCAGGCACACATCCATGTTCATTCAGAAGCAAAGCAGGGCATGTGTTCAAAATCTCCTACTTGGAAGGAGTATACTTATTCAGAAGTTTCCCTAAATTCAATGCTGGTTATTCCCAGTTAGGGGCTCAGAAAAAAAAAATCAGCTATCAACAGGCACATAGAGATAAACAACATCTACATACCATTCAAAAAGCCAAAATGGAAATAAAAAAGACCATCCCACCAGCAATGAACACCCAGATGAGCAAAGATCAACAATAGCAATAGCTACTGTACTTGAGAGACCGCCTTCTGCCGATTACCTCCCACAGACCCATT